GATAGATAGATAGATAGATAGATAGATAGATAGATAGATAGATAGATAGATAGATAGATAGATAGATAGATAGATAGATAGATAGATAGATAGATAGATAGATAGATAGATAGATAGATAGATAGATAGATAGATAGATAGATAGATAGATAGATAGATAGATAGATAGATAGATAGATAGAATACAGCTTTAATGAACAAGTTAGGGAAACCTGGTGGTGGCTTCCCAGTTTGCTTTGTGCCTTTGCCATGAAACACGCACAATCTGAGAAAGTGAGATGTCTATTTTTTTCCCTAAATGAAGAAACAAGTGTGCTTACAAAATGTGCCGTATACTTTAAAGAAAAAAATTATAATAGAAAATCAATTAGCAACTTATTGCATTTGTTATGTAGGAAGCAATGCATGAGTTCAGGTCACCAAACAGTACATCCGACTTTTTGGAATTCTCTTCCACATGTAGCCATACGTTTTCATTGAGCACAGCATTAAGAAGATGCGAAATGATTGCACTTAATTTAAATAAATACAAACAAAGGTGTGAGCTTTGTTTGAAACTTCCTGGAATGTGTAAGCAGTGCAGCAAAAACGTTAGCCTTGAAACTGATCAGGGAAACTGCGTTCACAAAAGTATATAAGACTAGCATTTGCTTTGGAAGTTTGGACAGACCAAAGGATGAGCTGAAATGACAGTAAATATTGGAAAGAGATTTGCCAGAGACACCAGGAATGTTCATAGGAAAACAAAGATCCATGTTCTGTTTATAGATTATTTCTGCAGCCACAGCCTTCCAAAAGAACTCGATACTTTTGGTTTGATGTAATCTATTCCAGAAGTAAGCGTATAGTTCCCAACCCAGGAGCTTTGGTTTCCGTTATGGATGATAGATCTCTGTTGAGTGGGAACAGTAAGTTCCTATGTAAACAATAAATTGGAACATTTTTTTTTGACAAACAACTCATCTTCCAATGCTTAAAACATTTTTCAATGCATTCTCTATAGAGCATGATTGTTTCTTTAATAAGGAACTGGTCTCTGCACAGATAATTAAACTATTATTTGACACAAATGGACATTTTCCCTTCAACAGTTGTGGTTTCTGTGTTTATTCAATATACAAATGTATTCATCTTGCCAGAATCCAACTGCAGTCTGTGTTTCTTTAACTAACAAAATCCCTTGCAGATTCACAAAAGCAATTGTGCAACAGTTTTCATCGGATGTGTAACTAAATTGACTTGGACATGTGAAATTACTTGATTGAAGTATATTTAAAATGATAATAAAGCTACTGCTTCAGAGCCATTTGAATATCATAAAATATTGTGCACATTCAGGTTATTCAGAGTTAAGATTTATGTCTCTGAGTACAGATGAGCCGACAGAGATGTGAGCTTCTTCTGCATACAGTTGTTGAATAATGGCCCTATTTTTCTTTTACAGACGGACTGAATGCATCTTGTCACAATCGTTTTATTTTGCCTTTTGGTAGAAACCCATTAAATGTAGAAATTTAAATGCTTAAATATTAGTGACAATGTACGTTTCCGATCCAAACGCAATAATGCAGTGATAGAAATAATTTAAATATATTTTGATAAACAACTGCATTACCATATGAAAGCTATTATTCTCCTGTAAGTCAAAAATGGAAATCATAAAAGTTAATGGTGCTGATCTCAGCACAGGGAGATGAGTCTGTTGGCTCCAAAGGGAAACTTCCTTTCCCCTCTTTTTAGTCTATATTTATACTTTTGGCCTTCTTCAGGTCGGTCATTGCCAAGCTAGAAATGTTATGAGCTGGAAAAGTAGAAACCCTTCAAGTTTTCTTGTTTGGACTTAGATCAATAACGTAGTCGTATTTCATTTTTAATCTCACAAAACTATAACATGACTAACTGCTTCCCTGCCTTCAGCTCCTTATGTGAACTACATCCAGAAAGATCCAGGCGCGCCCTGCTCCCTAACCGAGGCTCTGGACTACCTTCAAGTTGACATCCTGGAAGACGTGATAAAGAAGGACAACATGGCAGTCAATCAGAAACAATCTCCAAAACACAAGCCTCAGAACCTCACAGTGGTGGCCATGGAAGGCTGCCACTCTTTTATCATCCTGGATTGGGCCCGACCCCTGAAAGGTGACATGGTGTCAGGTAAGAAAGGCTGTTTTCAACTACAGAAATGGCATTTCCTGCAAACATGGAGTGTGAATGCTTATTGCAGAAGAACTTGCTGAAAAACAGTTGAACCTAGCTAAAATGTAGAAATTATCTGAAAAAAAAGCAGAAATTAGAAAAAAATACCTGAAAAGTAGCTAAAAATTCAGAAAGAAGCTTAAATTACTAGAAAGAAATGGGGAGAGCATATTTTTTGCTGAATTAGGCTGAAAAAAGTTGAAAGGAGTGCAAAAATGTGGAATTAGCTGAAAAGGCTAAAATTATCATAAAACAGCTAAATAGTAGCTGACATAACTTAAAACTAGCTAACAAGCTGAAAGGAGCATAACAAGCTGAAATTACCATAAAGAAGTTAATTAGGTTGAAAGTAGCAGACATTACCACAAAAATAGAATTTATCTGAAAACAGCTGAAATTAGCTAAAAATGATAAAAGTGTAGCTGAAATGGTAGAACAAGCTTAAGTTAGCAGAAGAAAGCAGAAAAAAACACGTTTGCCCAATTAGGCTGAAAGAAGCAGAATTGAGCACAAAGAAGTGGAAATTATCTGAAAAAAGCTGAAATTAGCAACAACAAACACAGCTAAAAATTAGCTAAAAAGGCAGAAAGAAGCTTAAATTACCAGAAGGAAGAGGAAACCACATTTTTGCTGAATTAGGCTGAAAAAAGTTGAAACGAGTGCAAAAAATGTTGAATTGGCTGGAAAAAGTTCAAATTAGCATAAAACAGCTAAAATAGTAGTTTGAGGAAGCTGAAATAGCAAAAACAATCTGAAACTTGCAAAAATAAGTTATAAAAAGCACAAAATGTTCAAGTTAGCAGAAAGAATCAGAAAGGAACACAAAACAGCTGAAAAAAGAGCTGAAAGTAGCTGAAAAACAGTTTAAATTTGCACAAGGAAGCTGAAAGAAGCTGAACCAGAACAAAACGTGAAAGGAGCAGTAAAAGGTTGTAAACAGATCTGAAGATTTAAAGGATGTAAAATGAGCTCAATTCATTTTCTATGGGAAAAAAATGGCAGAAAAGGCTAAATAAAAAAAATAAAAAATAAAAAAAGTTGCACCAATACCAAGAACCATAGCAGGATTGTCCTGAATGAGCTGAATGTTTTGATTTATGATTTGTTGAAATAGCACAAAAATTGTGGAACGAGAAGAATGCAGAAAATTGTACGGAAGAAAAATGGATCACAATAGTGTGGATGCTTCATAAACATTCACACTATTAGTTGGAAGAAAAATCGAAGGTATCAGTAACTCATGAGTGTGAAAACAACATGGATAAAATTACATCTAACGTGAACCAACAGTAACATTACCAAACTAAAAAAAAAATAATTTGCTTGTATTTCCTGTTGAGTCCTGTTGGAGTCATTTCAGCACTGCCACATTAAAACAGCTTAACGCTTCCTGGTGTCCTTTTGTTGTTGATTCATAATGTGGGTGTATACTGTTGTTTTCTGTGACCATATTCATAAAGTTTATGAAACAACGGCAACACTCTTGCAGGACTCAACCTTATTTGGCTGTCTTCTTCTGCTGGAAAATAAATAGATTTTTTTTTAAAGTACTAGAAAGCCAGCACGTTGAGAATATTGTCTAATGAACAGAATAGAGAGGACATCTAACAAACATTTGAGGAAAATCTGAGATGAAATATTATTAAAATGATTTATACAAGTAATCATCTTAAAAAAACAAAGTACTACATCTCTAGAGTCAAGATCTGAGTATTTTGTTGATAGTTTTTTGGGTTTAGTTTTGTTGTAGTTTCCTCTGCTTGCCTCTGTCATTATTCACTCGTCATCAGTCAGCTCCCTGCTCCTCCATCAGACTGCTCGCTCTCACCTGCTCCCAGTCAGCATTAAACTCAGGTGTCTTCACTTCCTCAACAATCCTCACCTAACTGGCATTCTTGCACATAAAACATAATTTTTAAACAAACAGAAAAAAAACATTTGACACTTTGCTATTCAACTTGACTGTATCGCTGTGTAGTTTTCATTCTGTTACAACAGAAGCCAAAGAAAGTTTTATACAAATAAAAAATAAAATACCTCAGTTTCAGCAGTTTCTCATTTTTTGTGGTTTAGCAGGTTTGTTTAACATCCTACCAGTATCCCCTTTGGACCCACATTTTAAGAACTCACTCCAGAAGTTTATTGTGAAAGGAGAAGTCCTTTCTGAACCCGTGGAAAAGAGTTGCTTTGCTCCCACTGTTTCACATGGAAAATTGAAAACTGTCTGACCCAGAAACGGACATGTGGAAAATAGGTAACAAAGAAGAGACTGACGAAAACAGCCTACTGTATGAGGCCCTGTGGGCTGTCAGGAGGCAGCACTCTGGCCAAACAAAGAAGAAGTGTGTTGGTTTTTCACAAAATAACCCAAAGCTTATAGGGTCCTACTGTGGACAGCGTCATCCTCTGATGCATAAAACAGATGATGGGTTGTTGCTGGTGTTTTCATCATCTGTCTCATTCAAGATCCTCTCCCTTTATAAAATATTTTAGACCACTCTATTATACTTTATCACCTGCTTTTTCATTGGTTTCAGTTTAATGACTCAGTTCTGATTATCTTTGACAAGTTTTTGTGAAAAATACCCCAAACAATGTATTTTTGTGTACACAATACCAGATTTAGCTTTTTTTTATACCATAATTATTTTACTACCATTTGCTATTAAAGCACACCATTGGGGTGTCCAATCCTGTCCTCAAGTGCCACCATCCTGCATATTTGACTTGTTTCTCTGTCCCAACACATCTGATTGAATGGTTCAATTACCTCTTCATGGTCTGCAGACACCTTTTAATCACCCGTTCATTTAAATCAGGTGGGTTGGAGCAGATACATCTTTAATGGAGGAGGTATTAAAATATGTGGATGGGAAAGTGGTGTGGAGACTTCAATGCACATAGCACTTTTTGGGGAAAATGTAATGAAAGATATAATTTTTTTTAGAACCACAAAATTAAAAAAAGAGAACATAAACAAGATTAACAACAAAAAAGGTTGAATCATGTCATCTGGACTTCGTTTTTTTGTTAAAAAGAAACGTTTCGCCCCTCATCCAAGAGGCTTCGTCAGTCTGAGGCCTAGCCATCTGGTATTACCCAGAAGCCACCCTGACTCTTGTGTTTCAAGCCTGCCTCAGATACCCCTGAAGTCTGGCCTTTTCACTAATGGTTTCAAAAACACAAAGTTTGTTTTCTCAGTCATTCAGGTATATAACAACAAAAAAGGTTGAATCATGTCATCTGGACTTCGTTCTAAACAAGATTGCAGACGCATAGCCATTGTGATCCACACTCCACACCAGTAGGTGGCGGTAATGCACACCTTCCGTTCATTAAACACCATTAGGAAGAAGAAGAAGATACACCTTTAAACCATGCACAATAGTGGCCTTCAAGGACCAGGAGCGGACATCCCTGAGCCAGAGCCTGATACAAACATTTCATACAATAAAACATTCTTTCAAAAAAGAAGTGAAGTGTGCACTTTTCTCACATGTCTCAACGCATTACATTTTAATTGACTGGAACTGAATCTATCTACATATAAAAAATACTTTCATTTATTGTAGAAAAAATAAATAAATGTTTGTCTGACAAACCCATCTACACAGGGTCATACATAAAACACCCAAAGACAAAATGTTTTAGTTGTTGAGGTGTTTGCACAGCCATGCCTTGTGATTTGTGGCTCACAGCCTTTTTAACAAGTATATAAATACAGCTGTCAGTCCATGGGTTAACACCTGAAACCAACTTCTGGTTCCATTCAGTGTGATGCAAGCAGAGATTTTCCTTCAAGGTCTTTGGTAAAATCATTCACTGAATATTAGGGGTGTTGCTTTTGGCTCAAAGGGCCAACTTTCAGCCAAACATCCGATACATTTGTGTTCAAAGCAGAGAAAGGTATTTTGTTCAGAGCACCCGGGCAGATGGCAAATCTTTATGAAACTTGCAGTTTAACTCCGCACAATAAAGAAGGAATGAAAATCCAAACAAAGAAAAAAAAAAAACAAGCTCGTGTTTCGCCTGTGCACAGTGAGCAGCCAGTTGTGTTGGTGCAGATCCAGGAAAAACAGAAAAAAACCCTCAAACGTCTAATAGAAATGGTTGATAGTTTGATGTGCGGAAGAGCTGGTCCCCATAGTTTTCAAGGGAATGACGGAGGGCCACATGACCTCAGGGTCTTCTCTCTGGAATTTGAAGATTTGTCTGCGTGGCTGAAGCAAAGAGGAAACCAGAAAGAGAAAATAGAGCAGGTTGGGGAATAATCAACGAGAACTGTCGTTTATTTAAAAGAACCTATTGGAGACCGCCTGGCATTTTACAAAACACTGAAATTTTCAAAACATTTTTGTTCTTAGCAGATATGCTGTTTATTGAATGGTTTGATATTAACTGTGAATATCTAGCTAAACCTGTTCAATTGTTTCATTTTGCTTTAACATAATTTCTTACAAACTATTTTGCATTACTTCCATAAAGGCTACATGGTTCACAGCGCTTCATATGACGACGTCCTCAACAATAGATGGGCTGCCAGAGCCTCTGATGGGACACATTTAGCTGTGGAGAACCTAAAGCCCAACTCCAGGTAACATAAAAACTGTGTTTATATACAATATGCGTGTACATCCAAGTAATTAAAAGTATGTTTTATTCCTTTTTTTTTTAACAGATTAAACTTGAACATTCATGACTTGTACAAGAGAATTTAGTTCTGTCAAGTGTTGTTTCTTTTCAAAATAAGGAAGAATGTCAAACAAGGGTGAAATGGTTGTGAGCAGCTGGATGCCTTAAAGTTGAGACAAGCTTCCTCAGAGAGAAGTAAATTGGATAATTAAATAAATGGAGTCAGTCAAAGTAACATATTTGATTGTGATGTGACATGTTGTAAACCTCTGTTGAGGATTTAGAAAATTCAGTCGAACGTAAACAGGCCACATCTGACACTTATTCACATATACAACGATCTCTGGCTGTTTCTGTTATTAGAGTTTCCAGAACCATGTCTTACAAGAAACGGGTCAGGGGTTTTCATAGTTTTCAAAATACACTAATGGGAAAATACCACCAAAAGAAGTGCTGCTGGAGCCTGTAATGTGCTTTATTCATCTGTGCTTTTAGGCTTTTCCACTTACCGTACTTGCCGCCGTACACGTCGCACCACCGTATAAGTTGAATCAGTCCAAAAATGTCTAATAAAGTGGAAAAAAAAACAAATACGTAGCTTTGCCGTATACGTTGCATCTATTATGCGTTACCACTGACCACCCAGAAACGTGGGCCGGTGTTGTGCCAAAAATCGATTGTCTGCCAAATGGCGGCCATGGAAGCGTGCACGGGAGGACTTGAACAAGAATTTAACAAGATTAACACTTAAAAACAATTATTTGTTTGCTTGAAATTCTAGCAAAAGTGTGTCTCAGTTCAACTTTTCCTTAATAAATGCACTTTAATGGTCAAATCTGTTGCATTTCACCTGGGCGGCGAAATGCAGCTGATTTGACGTTTGCTCCAGGAATTCTGGAGCGAGACAAAGGTGGTGTTATGGCAAGCCAAGTGCCTCACTAATAGCCACTTTTACCTATTAATGAGACACTTGGCTTGCCATATTAGTTGAGCGCCCTCTAGCGGCTGAAAATAGTACTGTTCAATATTTTCCAGGTCAAAATGAATGAAATTGGCAGATCTCAGCCAAAAATTGGGTTATAAATATGGGGGGAAACCATAAATAAGTCATTTTGCTGTATAAGTTACATGGCATGCTAATTTATGCAAAAAGGTGCGACTTAAACAGCGAAAAGTATGGTAAATATTGTTAGAGCATGTAGGCTAACTGTAAAATAGCAATATCACTAAATAACAACACACCAGATCTGTCTGTCTGCCTGTAGTTCATCTTGTATGTTAGCTACTAGCTAGTAATGACCAACTACACAGCTAACTAGTTAGCTAGCTAACTAACCCTTGCAAATCAGTATGTAAACAGCAAATGTAACATGCTGCAGCAGCTCACTACCGTAAAAAGATAAAAATAAAAAGGAAACTGGCATTGTGCATGAGCAGAATTAAAAAAAAAATATATAAAAATTATTTTAATTTAAAAAATGTAATTATTGAAAGGAAAAACAAAACTAAGTAATGGTTTAAGTTTTGACTGAAAACCAGGCTTCATTTTTGGTTAGCGGATTTGACGGATCAGATGAGCTGAAGGGGTTTTACAACACTCTAATTTTTTATTTTTTATATTGTCAAAAAATAATTTTTGGCATACCAAAGCGGGGAAAAGTTTTCTTTTCCCAAAACAAAATGAAGCCACCACATTCCTAGGCCCCAGGCTGCCTTGCGGGAATTATGGACACGACTTCCGGCGCGGACCAGAACCGCTGTTTGTTTATGTGTGAACAATACGAGCCAATGTAGTTTTCTGAGCATTGTGGATTTGATTTAAACATGTACGAACACCACCTGTCAGAGCTCAAACAGGACAAAATAACCATACTGCTGCCTGCTAGAGGAGGAGTGGGAGGACGACCTGAAGAAGTAGCTGTTGATTACATCTACGAGCATATTTAGCTACTTCATTGACTCAGTTGCTTCTGAGGGGGCAGGGATAAACAACCTGAAAAGATCTGAGATGTGTTACACAATAATAAGGTCGGTCCTGTTTTCTTAAAAGAGGTGAGACACAATTTTATTTACCTTAAAGCAAACAGAGCCCAGCCAAAGCCTTAAAGTCCTCCATCACTGAGCTTGGGTTAATTGCAGAGAAAATAGTAGTACAGAAGACAAACAAATAATGCTGTGCCCTTCATACACTTGAAATCGTACCTGATATTCTCATTACACAGTTTTCAATCCTTCTGAGGATCCGGCGTCTCTTCTCCAGTGGTTTATCGTAGCTCAGCCACAAAGTAGGATGCAGGTTTTCCTCTGTCCACCGTTTGTCAACAAAGAGAACTGAGCACACCTCCAGCGTTTTGGGTGGTCTCTTCAAGTTCAGATTTTTCAGCCACATTCTTCTTAATTCCTCATTTGTAGGTAGATGATGGAAACTATACCACTTTTCACAGGAACACTTTTTTTTTTGTTTTGGGTCTGTGTTCAAATAACTGTTGTTGTTGTAGCCACTGGTTTAGTTTAGTCTGGTTGTTCGTGCAGCTGCGAACACAACAGGTACCTGAACTCCACGAGGCTATTTTAGTCAACTTTATGGTTGTTAAATAAATGTAAACAAAACAAAAATAGTGTTTTATCTGTTAAGCTGAATGCAAGTTACTTTCAAATAAACCGTTGTCGGTGCTCCTACCATAGTTAACCAATGGTTACTGCTACTTCCTGTGTCTGACAGGAAGTGGTACCATAATCATTTATATTGAGCTCCCATGAATAAGGTGGATATATTGTCAATAAAAAAAAAAAAAAGAAATAATGGCACAAGTTATCAAATTATTTATTTTATTTTATCTGTGTGTGTGTGGGGGGGGGCACCCACAGCTCACCAGTTGGTTAGTTAACTAAATAAGCTGCTTACTCACAAGATAATTAACTATTGAGGTAACTCATGAGCTAACTAACTTGTGATTTAGCTTACTATCTAACTACATATGTGACATGCTAACTAGCTGTCTAACTAACAAACTCTTAATTTGTATATTTTTTAAAGAAATATACAACCACCTATCTTGTTACATTTTTTACTGTCACTTTGAGGTTTTTATCTCCTATGGCTGATCTATATTTGATACTTGGATCAGAATTGTCTTATAATTTGACCTTAAAACATGTTGAGAGTTCATAATTATTTTATCATTCTGAGCCGAGCTCTAATAAACTAAAGTTTAAAATGGCTCAAATGTCTATATTCATAGTTCTGAACTGTTTTTACACTTTGGCTCACATTTACTGACTCCACTTTCTTCCTTTAACCTCTTCTTGCATGACATCATCGCTCTGCAGCTGCGTTGCTTGCTCATTTCTCACTAAGTGAAATATTTTGATCAGTGTCGTCATGGCCGGAGTGATTGGATCCAGGCTTTATGGTTGCATGTGATGAAACATTTTCAGTAATAAGTGATGGATCGTGAGTTTAATGGACGTATGCGGCCTTGCAGAGTGAAATGGAAAAAAATCCTGTATGCTTATATATGTCATCTGCAGTGGAAACATCTTGCAAACTCTTGAAGGTATCAACAGTTATTTTCATTATGATAGGACTTTATAATTCTTCAAAGACAATTTGTGCTCACTGAAGGACTTTGTTTTGCTTTTTGGCAATAAAGCTGTATCATGCAGTAAAACTCTCAATCAGAAAATTCTCCTCTGAAAATGATCCCGTTTGCAACGGCCCATGTTTCCATCCACGTTCATTTTAACTCTGCCTTACTTTTTCCACTTTTTCTTTTTCACTGTCATCAATTTTCTCCTCTAATTTGTTATTTTTGCTCCTCTACGTGTGGTTTTTTTTTTTTTTGCTCTCAATCACTTATTTTCTCAACTCTTACATTCTCATACATCCTCAAACAAATAGCTGTTTTATAATGCAGCAAAAACTTGGATGGTAAACAACTCAAACCTGTTGAATCAGACTCACCAAAGCAGACCAAGCCATCTGCTCTGCTCATTATCTTTTCCAGTCATAATGACATTGGCAGAGTAACACTTGAACCAGTAAATCTCCCATTAAAGTCTTGGCTTGTGATCTGTTTTAATGTAGGTACTACTTCAAAGTGCAGGCCAAGAATGTGTTCGGTTTGGGACCATTCAGTGAAACACTCACCTATGAAACTGAGTCAGGTATGTCTGCAAATGTAAATGCTGAAAAGTCATTGGAAGTTAAAATCTGACTATCAGCTAATTCTATTAGGTATTATGTTGATCTTTAATGCCCACGATTAAGTAAAAGTTTCATAAATTAAATGTTGCCCTTTTATTCCTTAAAAGAAATATTTCTTTTTTCAGATGATCCATTTTTGATTGAAAGACCACCTGGTAAGTCTGTTCACATTTCTCATTTAACGTCAACCAGCAGCGCTGTGCACGTATATCCCAACAAATCTGCACTACGGTTTTAAAGAGGAAGCCATCATTCTTAAAACAAAAACATTTTAGGTCCAAACTTCAGATGGATTGTTGTTGGTCTTCTTTTTTTGTGAAAATTGTACAAGCAAAGCATTCAACCTACAAAGACAATACTTTAGATAAACTTGAAATTTGACATGATTATTTAAGGACAATGTTTATTTCATTAATTTGTTGGGGGAAAAAACAAAATTGGGAAGCAAAAATTATATATATATAAAAAAAAACATTTTAAGTATAAAAGCAATAAAAGCAGGTACACAATAATGACTTGGATGGATGTTGTAAAAGCATTTGTTTACACAGCAACATAATGCATTTGTGCAACAAAAAGGACATGTAAGGTTTTGGGTCTTTTCCTTACCTCCTATGGTTTTGACAAATCAACTTTTATGCTTGTAAATGGCCTGAAATATGCAAAGTACAAAGTCTGCATAAGAGTAAATAAGTAAAATGATACAGTTTCTTATTATCTTACATAACTTAACATATTAATTGACATAAAAGACACATTATTTTACATTACTAGTGTTTAGCGTACATCATAGATCTTTTAGCATATCGTTTAGTGTAGATCTTAGTGTATATCTTAGTGTATGTCTTAGTGTATATCTTAGTGTATATCTTAGTGTATATCCTAGTGTATGTCTTAGATCCTTATATACTGTTTCTTTTTATACTTAATATTTTTGCTGTTTTGGGGTGTAACTGGGACCCTGAGTACACAATTTCGTTCCACCTCATGTACCACATGTGATGTAAATGACAACGAAGAACCTTGATCATTTTACTGCTAAGTATGCAGGATGCCATACTCCTCTGCTTCTATTTTATTTTATTTTTTCTTGTCAGGTGGAGAACCAATCTGGATCCCTTTTACCTTCAAGTTCAACCCGGTCCACAGCAGCTGCAACGGCAGTCAGTACGTCAAGCGAACGTGGTACAGGAAGTTTGTCGGCGTGGTTCTGTGTAATTCTCTACGATATAAGATCTTCATGGGAGACGGCCTAAGAGGTGACCTGTCACATTAGGAAAATTAAAGAAATGGGCTTTTTAGAGGTAAACATTTCCAATCACATTCTCCTTCCTCTTCCACAGAACCTTTTTACAGTATAGGAGACACGCTTGGACAGGGAGGAGACCATTGCCAGTTTGTGGACTCCTACATGGATGGAAGAACAGGCCCAGTTGACTTCTCATATAATATCCCCTCAGCACAAGGTAAATAAGAAAATATGATACAAATACGAGACTTGTGCCTTGTATTGGAAGATGCAGCTTCATATCTTTATTCATTCTGCCTCAATAGTTCTAAGAAGGGCCAGCAGAACTGATTTTGTCCATGCAATGAAAATTAATCCAGAATATTGTTTTAATAACTAATTTTAAAAAGAAATTGAATTACGTTTAACTGTCTGGTTACTGTAATTCATCTTGTAGCATTTTGGTGCATATTGATTTTTTTTTTTAGATTCTTCAAATAGGCAACTAAATTAGTTTTTATGTAAAACAGTAGTCCCTTGTTTATCATGGGGGTTCCCAGCCCCCCTGCAATGAGTGAAAAACCACGATGTAGGGATAATAGTACAAGTAGTAGCAGTATTGACCCTTCCCACACTATTGCAATATTCTAAAATCTGAAATTGGCTAAAAACATCCTGAAGTGTAGCTGAAATGGAAGAACAGGCCTATGTTAGCAAAAGAAGCAGAAAAAAACGCATATTTGTTTAATTTGTTTTAAATAAGCGGACAATTTAGTAAATTAGCTAAAGAAAAGCTAAATTAGCCAGAAATAGCTGAAAAGTAGCTGAAACATAATGAAGCCTATTACCAGAAGAAACTGGAGAGCACACACCCAGTTAGGCTAGAAATGTGCACATAAAAGTGGAAATTCTCTGAAAAAAAAAAAAACCCAGAAATGTACAAAAAAATAAATTTAAAATAAACAAACAATGGATTGTTTATTTAAAATATTACAGTATTTAAATCTAAATTATTTATTTACACAGAATGAGGGAGATTGAGAGTTGGTGAGCGTGGCAGAGCGGAGATCATGACACGCTGCAGGAGGGAGCTTCTCCCTGCACTTGTGGGCTGCACACGGGTGCAGCAAGTGCTACATCATTTAAAAAAAACAATAAACAAACAATCCATGCCACTTGTGCAGCTCATCCATCAATCAGCCAATTGTGTGTCATGTCTAATCTTACTTTGAAAAACCGCGATAGAGCAAGTCCGCGAAAGTCAAACTGCGAAGTAGCGAGGGACTACTGTAGACCAAAATGTCCAAAGACAAATATTTTGATATTTCATCCAAGAAGTGCCCAAGATCCTAAATGTGATAGAACAACTTCCTAAAAATCTTTACCAGATACAAAATTACCAAAGTTACACATCGTTTCTAATAACAAACTCTTTGGTTTCCCTTTGTCTTTTCGGTGGAGTGACATGTTGAGTTTATGTGAATCAGGTTTTCAAATATCTGGTTTTAGCAGATTCAACATTATACAGAAGTTTTTGTGTCAAATTTTTATGCACATCTAGTGTTTGGTTTTTGTGATCGTTGCCCATGTTTACATTTTTTTTTTTCCACTGTGGTGCAATTAAAACACTTTTATTGTTTCAGAACATAGCACTGGCATTTTATTGCCTACATTCTAAAAAAACATTTGTTATCTAATTGTTCCATTTATTTTAAACATTTTAAAGGCTCCATATGAATATTTTAGTGCATTTGTTATCTTAATTCCATTTTCAACAGTACTGAATGGAAGCATAATAATGTTCACGTTTCATTACGTTTTTTTTTCTTCTGCAAAATGTACTCTTTTTGAATACTGTATTTTGCAGACTATAAGGCACACTTAAAATCCTTTAATTTTCTCAAAAATTGACACTGAGCCTTATAATCAGATGCACCTCATGTATTAATTCTGGATGTGCTTACTGACTTCGAACCGATTGTATGTGGTTATTTTGAATGAGTTGAATAAAGTTTGACTTATCTGACTCTTTTGTTTCTGTTGATGCACTTATAATCTGCATCTCCATCTGCTCCCTAAACATTCTCTTGAAAATGAGTTCTCGTGGCTCAATGAGACTACCTGTATAAATAAAGGCTAAATGAAAAAAAAATAAATGAAAAAAATAATCTGGTGCGCCTTGTAGTCTGAAAAATACGGTAATGCCTTTCCCCTTTCCATACACTAGCTGCATGTGTTAGTATATATATTTTTATGTGTTGCAGGATATTATCGGGCCTACAGACAGGAGCCGGTTACATTTGGAGTTATTGGCCGACGTACAGCCCATCATTTTGTAGGCTGGTATGAATGTGGTGTACCCATCCCTGGAAAATGGTAACTCGGGGGAAGATGAGACGTTGATGCTGGCTCTCACCTGTTGGTCTTTCCATTCAGAACAGACTTTAGCCTGCACGCTCAAAAAGACACCACTACAACTTTATTACAGAAAAAAAAGAGGACCTAGTACTTTACAAACAGCTAAATGTATATCATTACATTGCACTTTTTATATAAAGAATTCTGTATATGAGGGGGAAAACAGCTTTGCTTTTACTTAGCTTAACTCTTAAAGTGGCTTTTTCCAGAGACAGGTCCTTACGTTGTGTTATTTATCTCGTCAGTAACGGACACCCATTTGGTCTTTCCAGTCACATTGGACCAAAGCCCAAGCTGCAAGGCAAACTGTACAAATACGTGACTTTAAAGTGTGTATAGATCTGGTGTTGTTTCATTGTATTTCAACTTGTGATATTCATATTTCGAAATGTATTAGCTCTTGACAGCTATGACATCTTGTGTTTTAATATTATACTATTTTACTACATTTTTATATCCACCAGAGTTCAATCAACGTTATTGTGTACATTCTGTTTTTTTTATGTATACAAAAAAAGAATAAAAGGCCAAATATTTGCTCAGGAAATGTGAGAGATTCAATAAAGGTGCTACGAAAACAAAAGCAATCCAAATACATCAATCATATCATTTTTCTTTCTCTCTCTTTGCTGCCACATTCTTTTCTACACATAATCCAGATCTACTTTATCAGCTTGATGGAAAATCTGAGTAAGTCAGGAGTCATGAGGTCTGGAAGAGTCCGTTTGAACACAGTAAGTTATGATCTAATAGGATGTCAAAGCAATTCATCAGTGACTGAAAAACAAAGCCAGAGCAGGGAGTCGAAAACTGCAGCTCCTTGAATGCCCCATTTTACAAGATAATAAACATGTTGAAAGCCTGGCAACCTCAGGGACAATTCTTCTTGTTATGACTGTCTGGGCCACTGCCTCATAAATTTGAAACTCATGGGGTGTAGCTTGGGCCCATGTGGTAGGAAGGTCTCCTACAGTCGGAGGATCAGGGGGTTGATCTTCAGGCCCTGCAACATGAAGTTTCTATGGGCAAGACACAAAGCTGAACTTTTTATATACATTTTACCTGATAAAGATAGTAAATATAAATGGACTGTGCTTATATAGTGCCTTTCTACTTAGAGAGGTCAAGGTCGAGAGATTCAGAGCTTTTTGCAAGATATTCCAGGAAACAGGAGCGGAGTAGGAGAAGGCACTTTTGCCTAGTTCAGTCCTCACTGAGGGAACACTGCAGGTAATAATGTCCTGAGAGCGCATGCTGTAGCTGCACTCACACAGCAACATGTAGGAGGAGATGTATGAAGGCAGCAGACCAAGAAGTGATTTAAAGACGAAAATGTACCAGTGGGAGAGTCTGCGTGAAGTTAATATGACCAGTTAACCAGTGAATACAGGGTGTAGTGGTGGGTACGGTAGTTACAGCCAGTTATGGCTCTTAGCGCACCGTGATAGACAGCATCCAACATCTGCAGGGTTCTTGTAGGAGCGTTCATGTAAATAATGTCACTGTAGTCAGTGGAGGGAAGGGACGTCACAGTCACAAGGTGTTTCCTAGCATTCAGAGTGAGACAGGATCTATTTATGAAAAAGAAACACAGTTTAACTTTCAGTTTCTTAACAGTTTCCTACGTGACGCTTAAAAGAGAGATGCAAATTGCCCAAGATACCCAAGTATTTGTAGGAATCGACAAACTCGAAAGGGACACCATTCGAGGATAAAATCAAAGGAAGAACTACTGGGACTGACTTCCTGTTAGAAAAAAAGCATCCCTTTGGTTTTGTTGCCATTTAGGACAAGTTTGAGGTGGAACAAACCTGAAATCTCTACAAAGCTAATTTGAATTTATAAAGACCAATCAGTGCTTTACATCACATTCATACACTGATGGGACACACATTGGAGGCAATGAGGGGTTCAGTGTCTTGCCCAGGGACACTTCAACGTGTGACTGCTGGTGGAATCAAACCATCAACTCTCCCATTGGAGGACGACTGCTCTAACCAGTCAGCCACAGCTGCCCCCAAAGATGCAGTTTGGTGTGACAGTTTCTCTGTGTGTGGGCTTTTCTTCATTCATCAGGACACTGAATCCCTCGACTGCTCCCACTATGATTATCGATGTGTAAGTGAGATAATAAAAACACTTTTTTTTTCTTTCGGCTGCTCCCTTCTTTAGGGGTCACCACAGTGAACTAACTTGCAATTGTTTATACGTTGGATGCTCTTCCTGACTTAACCACAGACCACCGAGCTACCACAGCCCTCTGTGTGGAGCAGAGAGCTGCCATCTAGGGTGCCCGGGGGAGCAGATGGTAGGGGTTAAGGGCCTTGCTCAAGGGCTCAGAGTGGGGCAAATGAGTGCGGAGGAAGACGTGGGTGTTTCACCTTTCCCACCCACATTTTGATGTTGGTTGCGGGGAGTTGAACCGGCGACCTTCCGCTCACAGGTCCGCCTTCTCTAACCTCTGCGCCACCACTATATACAATAAAAATACTATATATTGAGTGTATAATAATATCAAAACGCATTGGCTGTGAAGTGGTGAGTGAGAAACATTGTAAAGCATTTTGCAGAACCCGGAGAGGTTTACAACAGCTCTATGTAAGTGCAGACCATTTACTATTTAAGTTTGAACCATTTTAATTATCTGAAATTGCAGTTAACAAACTCAAAATATTTAGTTTGGAGAGCTGAAGTCGTGATTGGTGGTTAGAATTAAGATTATGGTAAATTGTGTCAGGCAGAAGAAAGATGAGATGACCTAAACATGCACCAAACCTTTAAAACAATGTTCCAATAATTATTCAGGATCGTCACAGATGATTTAAAGTTCACTTCAATTAAAGTGTAATTAGGGATGATATATTGCACAACCTTACACATTAAATAACACAAACAAGGAATTTTGGCCCTAGTTATTTTGTAATTACTGCTCCTGTTAAGCTATCCATTATTCTTGCTTTACCCACTTCTTAATTTGATGGGCTTGTGACTCTGAACGCCATCACAGAGAAACAAATGAGAACAACAACCATCAACACTCTCACTTACACCTAGTGGCAGTTTAGAGTTACTAATTAATAACATGCGTGTTTTCAGTCTGTGGAAGGAATTCAGAGAAAATGGAGAGAACGTGGTAACGCCACACAGGCCGGAAGACAAACCCGCAACGTTCTTACTGTGAGGCAACAGAGCTTATCGCTGGCAATAAAAAGAAGAAACTAAACTAAAAATATATTTTTGAAGAGTTTGAAACTGCCTTTCATGACGTCTTTCTAAATTTCTAATAGTAAACTAAATAAATAAATAAATGTCTCCTGAAGTCAAGTTCCTTTCTTATAAATTCAAAAATATATGATAAAATTAGATTAAGTTTTAAAGTAATCTGGGAAGTACGGAAGAGTATTGCTGTCAACTATAAAATTTATATATTTAAAATTATATTGTACAAACATGATAATTATATTGCACAAACATGACAATTGTACAAACATGATATCATGTTTGAACAATATAATTATTATGTTTGAACAATATAATTATCATGTTTGTACAATATA